CTCCCCTTGTACACCTGGACAGGTTCAGAGAAAAGCCAAAAATCCTGACCCATGCCTTAGGACTCCTTTAGTAGGGGCACTGTCTTCTACTGTTGCCGGCAATGGCACAACATTTCAAGTCACCTATGTGAGTTTGGGGCTCATGAGGGACTCTACAATCTAATGCTGTCAGGGAAGGACTGGGTTTACTGTTACCCAGCACGGCCACTCCGTTCGTTGTGACAGAATATTGGGCACTGAGAGCTTGGGATTCCTCTCAGACCTTCCTCAGCCCCAATCCCCACGTTAAGCCAGTGCGTATTACGTTAAGCTCCCCTTCCCTTGTGCTCCACCTAAATACAAAGCTCATCAAGAGGGCCAGCTCTCCGTGTCCAACGACTTCCATTTTACGGACATCTCATCCTGCTACATCATCTTGTGTATGTTGCGAAACAATTACCGGCAGCTGACTGACTCTCCTCCCTCCCCCTTGACCAAAATCTGCTGCTGCCAGTGGAAACTTATGATTCTGACCTAAGTCACTCTCAAGCACGGCTTACGGATCTGGGCAAACCCTCACAATGACACCGAAGCCAGGGAACCTACTTACCCTCCACTCCCGGTAAGAAGTTATGGTCCTCATCACCCTGTAACCAGGTTACAACCCTGACATAGTTAGCTCTTGTTTACAATACACAACTAATATATACACCACAAAGCTATGCCCCATATTGTAAACCATGCCGCCTTCTTGTGGTAGTGCAGAATAGCATTTAGATCCCATTTGCTTTTCTTCTTCGCTGCACTGTTCTTCCCTCCAGAATTTATACCAAAACCAACAAGTTAAAGAGGGAAAATATTTAGGGCAAAGCTCTAAGGCAGAGACAGAGAGAAAAAAAATGGTTTTGCTGTTATGGTAACAGTTTAAGATACGGCAACACTTGCCAACCTGTTTAAAACAAATTGTACAAGCAGGAAAGGTTTGTTGCTTTTCTAAATTCCCTTGTGTAAAGGGCTATCTGCATCTAAACTAAACATTCATGTATTCACTTAACCCCACAAAAAACAAGGAAAAGGAATTGCTGACACTCCCCTTGTCTACACTTCCCGGTGGATCGATGCTGCAGGGATCAATCCACCAGCTGTTGATTTCGATCTCTGAGCGCGCTCTTATTGACACTAATACTCCATCAAGGCAAGAAGAGTAGTCAGCATTGACGGGAGAGCAGCCCCCACCCACTTTATCACACGCAAGACACTGGGGTGAGTATTGACTTCTGCTGAAGTAGATCGACTGTGCTGGTAAGTGTAGACAAGGCTCTTCACCAACCTGTAAGAATGCAGTTCCTGCAGGGATCAAAGTGGGCCCTTTGCCTGAACTGGGACCATTAGGCAGCAGCTCAGCACAAGGAGGCCCTGATGCCTGAAAAGCTCATCGTAAGCACCTGACGGAAGAGGCACTGTTACCCCCAACACAGATATCCTGACCATTCCCATGCAAGAGTCACTATCTTTCAGGAAGGGTGATCTTTCTGAGGAGCTATAAAGCTCAGTCCCTCACAAGTCTGGTCGTTAGTTAGGGACAAGCTATCAACAAAGTCACAAGGTTAGGGCCAAGTGCAGTTGCCTGCAAACACGTCCCCAATCTGCATGTACAGAGACTAACTGCCTGCCCACTGGGATTCACACATTGTCACTGTCCACTTGGTCTTCAGCAAAATACAGCCCATTGGAGCCCATCATCTTTTTCATAAAAATAAGGGTGTTAACACCATGAACAAATGTACCCTGAAGACACAGAACTACATTCTTTTTACCTCAAGAAATCCCACTACAGTTTCATCATCATCTTTAATCCACACTCTGAAATGTCGTATACCGTGGAAGGGCACTGCTAGGCATATGTTAAGCTCCACCCCAGAGCTGGCTACATTTCAGCAGTGGGTAACATAAGCCTCACATGCCAGGGGTGGGCAATAATTTTTGATGGGGGGGGCACTCCAAAATTTTGGTATGAGGTCAAAGGCCGCACTTTTCTATGGAGGGGATGCAGGGTCTGGGATGGAGGTTGGGTGCAGAAGGAAGCTTGGGGTAAGAGTAGGGGTACAGGACGGTATTCACAGCACAGGAAGCTTCCCGCTGCCCCCCACCCCCCAAGCACAGAGACAGATAGAACAGCCAGCTGCTCTGAGCCCTGAGGATGCTCGCTACCCGTGAGTCCAGTGGAGTGGGTCGCGGGCCAGATTGAAAGGCTTGGTGGGCCGGATCCGGCCAGGCTGTATCTTGTCCATCTTGTTTATACGCCTTACCTCTCTTCCCCTTCTCGCACACACAGATGTTGTGATGTTTAATTAGCTATCAGGCCCACAAATGGCACATACTATCCGATGCATCATTTGGCAATCCCAGGATTTGATGAATATGCATACACCACTGCAAAAGTCATTTAATTTAGGCTTCCTCTCCAGGGGATGACTTTTTCCATTTCAGAGGATTAGTAACCAAATCAACTCATTAGAAATACAGAAGAGACAGAGAAGCCCCTGGGTAACGCTGGATGTCTTATTTTGCAGCTCGCTATTCTTCAAGTTGTTACATCAAAGAGAAGCTTCCAGCACCTCTGTTCTATGTTTGAGTGGGGATGAGGAACACTCAAGGGAATTGGATGAGCTCGTTCATAAATGATAACTGTGTGAGTCATCAAAAAAGGGGGGAATAAAGGCTTGCTACGTCTTTTATTTATGCGATGGTGCTTCAGACATAATGCAGAGGATGCTGCAGACTCTGTCAAAGGCATCCTTGTTAATGACTCTAAAGTTTGGATTATTATGTCTCCAAACTTCGTTCCACACATTACAGCTCAGGGCTGCCAACAGAAGTATAAAAGTCATGGCATGCACAAAACTGTCTGTTAGAAGGGAAAGGAGACTGGCTGATTCTTGGTATTGACTTCTACTTCCCTGCTCCCAAGTAGCACACGTAATGTCACTTGCCTGCTGCTAGAAACCACTGTTCATGTTTCCACGGTTGTAGCCAGCTGGGTCCCAAGCTATTAGAGACAAGATAGAAGATCTGTTGTTGAACCAACTTCTGTTGGTGAAAAACTCCTGTTGATGAAAGAGACCGCCAACCAAAAGTTGACCTTATTTAACACATTACCTCAGCCCCCCTTGTGTGTGTCTCAATTTCCCCCACACCTATTTCTTCAGAAGAGCAAAACCTTAGAGCAACACAGTAGAATCCTCAATTTTAGGGACTGTGTGTGGGGGGGGTGGAGGATGGATTTTGCCCCTTTCTAGCTGACAGCAAATAGTTCTGGCCACAAGTCATGCAGTCCAGATGTAAGTTTTGTCTCCCAGTCTATGTTTAACCCAGTCAGGAACCATGACAGTGAGGGTGGGGAGGTAGAATGTAAAGCATTCTACAGCAGCCTGGCAGGCCTGGATTAAGACATGTTGAGGCCCTAAAGCAGAGGTGGGGAACCTTAAGGCCTGGAGACCTACTAGCCTGAGCTCCCCTAGGCTCTGGTGTGCGAGAGGAACGTGGGGAGTATCCTTATTCTCAGTTCTCAGCTTGTGGCCACATCAGTGAAAGGGTGGTGGTTTTTTTTTTTGTTTGCTTCTGTGTGAGGCCCCCAACTGATTTTTCTGTGGGTCAGCAACCACTGACCCAAAAAAGGTTCCCCACCCCTACTGGCTATGTCAAGTTTCAGAGGCCCCACAGTATTAAAAACCCCATGTATTATTCTAACAGAAAGGACAATGAAAACAGAAATAACATCTTGTATTTGCATGTATATCAGTAAATAGGCAAGGACAGAACTAAAAAAGTAGTAGAGGCCCTTCATAATCTGAGGTCCTAAGATGCAGCTTACTTAGCTTGCACATAAATCGGGCACTGAGGTGCCTACCTCCACACCTTAACTTTATATTCAGCTAAGTAGCTACATGCCAGGGCTAGGGCAGTTTGTAGATTAGCTCACTGCCTTCTGCACTGCAACTGCAGAACAACAAACAAAATATGAAGTGAGTACACATCAGAGGCCCAAATCCTCAGCAACGTTGGGGGGGCTCCTCCCTGCTGCAGAGGGGTGCAAAGGTGGCTGTGTGCTCTAACGCTAAGGTCACTCCACTTAAGAACTTCCCCTCACGAAAGGGAATGCTCTTGTGGCTAGCTAAGCCAGAGTTAGGACAGCTTTGCACAGGGAAATTGCTCTAAATGTGCCCTAATGCTCTGTAGCATCCAGTCACCCTTGTTTCTATCTTGGGAGACTATAATGAGACAAGTACAGCAGAGGTATCCAAGGCTAGGGAGATTTATTACATAGCACTTGCAGAAAGTGACCATGCTATTCAACAACTTCTCATTAGCCACTTATAAATCTAAGACTGGAACATGCACATCCTTGAAAGGGTGCTACTTTTCATTCCAGGAAACACCACTAATATTGGAACCTGCTGAGGTCAATAGTGCAGGACATGTATAACCAGAGGAAACTAGCTCAATGTATTCTGCTTTTTCCAATAAAAATAGAGTATTGTCTACCCTAAGTGTATAAATATCATGAATTAAGCCCCTTGAAATCATAAGAACAATTTACAAAAGACAGATGGGCGGAGGGGGGATTTCTATTTGCTTTCTGGATTTTGAGTAATTTGGGGATACATTTTCAAGTTTTTCCTCCAGACACATTAGGGCTAGAAGTTTGCTTTTTTTTAGATTCTTTCATCACATGACTCCAAAAGCTGGAGGCTGAAGCAAAGCAAATATCATTAGACTTGTGATAACAACCGTGAAAGTTCGCAACACTGGAAATCAACAAACTTGTGTAAGAAATAGGGATGTAAAATCCTGATTGATCAGTTAAAAAAATTAAACATTAGGTTAACCTAATGTTTAACCGGTTACCTGACTACGCAGGATCCCAGACCTGCTCCACCCATCGGCTCCTGCTCCCAGCCCCCCGGGGGGGGGGGGGGGGGGGGGAGAGGAGGCTGCCAGTTGACGACCCATTCACGTACCTAGTAAGAAAAACCTTGAAGAGCAATGTCGTCTTCATTTCCTTTTTCCTCATCATTCTTGGGGGGAGATGGGGGGAGGGGCGGGCAAGGGTTATTCCAAGCCCTCTCCCTCTTTCCAACGATTAAAAAAATCCAAACCAAGGCTGTAGTGTCATGTCGGTTTAAATGGATCTGGTTCCCTCTGGAGCCACTCCTGAGTGAAAGGAATTGCTCCTATCTAGGTCCCGTCAATATCAGAATAATCTGTTGCACCACTAAGTGGATTCCGATACCACTTTGCTCTGTGCCCTTATCTCTTCCTTCTAAGTCATGCTCAGCGAGCTGTGCAAAGGAAACACAAGGCATTCAGAAACTGCTGATCCAGCAGAAGGTGGTATAGATGACGAAAGCAGTGTGGAATCATCCAGCGTATCAAGATTACCACCTTTTATTTTCCTTTTTAAAATGTCCACGTTTGCCTGTCTGAGCAGCCTGGGAATGAAGGCTTCTGTAGCAATGGTTCTACGTTGCAAACTTACGTATTTTACAGCAATTTAAAAATAGTTGTTTAGTAGGAAACAGGAAGTGCTGCCTTGGGCGGCACTTGCTAAGTGAATGAAGGCATTTGTTTTATGAATCCTGCTTATAGGGCCACAGCAGGGAAGACTGAGCCCGTAGGAAGCTGCCGAAGAAAGGTCCAAACTCAAGGGATAATAAAGTTCTCTTCAAAAGCAAAGTCTCATCCGTAAGCATCTAACACTAGAAAATGAATTTGGTGTTTATGAGAGTGACTTGGCTTCACCCAGGCATGAGGGGCAGATGCTAGAGAGATCACTGAGTGAAGGAGGATGAAAGACTTCTTACCACAGGCCTAAGCATGCTATCTCTGCAGGACACTCCACTCTGGCTTCCCTAGTGAGAAAGATAAACACTGACAATAAAACCCACAGCTCCCACAGAGCACCATACTGCCCACAGGGCTGGTTTCCCCACCCCTCTTTGGAAGTATACTATCTTCCTGCAGCATGTATGGCTCAGATTAGTTATGCTGCTTCTACAGGAAAGGAGTTAACAGCAAAGAGGAAAATTACCCGACGCGGATTATTATGAAACATGCTGAATATGCAGAGATACACAATCATGGCATAAATGAAAGGCTGGGGAGAAACCCACAGGATTCCCCTTGAGTATATGTTACATGTATTACAAATTGTGCCTGACAGCCCAAGATCAGGGCTTGGTTATGCAAGGCACTGCATCAGCGCATAAAGGGTCACGGCTCAGAAAAGCTGACTGTATAGGCAAGACAAAAGATAGCAGGGGAGAAACCCAGAGACAGGAAGTGATTTGCCCAAGATCTCTCAGACAGTGAATGACAAGCGTCAAGAAAACAATTCATGTCTCCTGATTCCCAGTCCAGTGCCAGATCCAATTGTTTACTCTGCCTCTCAATAATTGGCATATTTTACACACAGGCAGTAGCTGATTCTGGACCCAAAGTCTTCCCCGGAGGATGGAAGGCCTCATGAATTTTAGAGAGCAAGGAGTAATCCCTCATTTTATGTATGCTTCCCCCATTTTTTCCCACAGTGGAGTGAGAACACACTAATTATACTATAATTAAGCCTTGCACTTAGCTTGTCAGGAACATTTCCTTCTGCTGTGCTGTGTGTCATCCTAGCCAGATCCATTTTAAAACATGTGCTCTGTAAGCAATTGTTACTGCAGACATGAACAGAGCCTCTGATTAACACCACTGGCTCTGGCATTGGCTATTGCTAAGAAACACCACAAGCAGCCCTAGGAACAACACCTTGCTCTCCTTTCCCCCCATCTTACCATCACAAAGAAAGGAATTTGTGTTAGTCGGAAGGTTGAGGACCAGGCTGACAAGACGAGAGTAAATTCTATCTGATAGAATTAGGCCATGTCTTTACTCCAGGGAAAATCAACACTGCCACAATTGATCTTCTGGAGTTCAATATACCAGGTCTACTTAAGACTTGCTAAATCGAACTCAGAAAGCACCCCATCCATAGCTGGTACTTCTGCTCCCGTGAGGAGTAAGAAAAGCAGACAGGAGCATTTGCTCCTGTCGGCTTCCCACTGTGAGGATGGCGGGTAAACTCGAATCAAGGTACATTGACTCCAGCTATGTAATTAACATAGCTAGAGTTGCATAACTTGATTTGACCTTCCCCTTTAGCATAGACCTGGTCTCAGACTAAACCAAGCACTTTAAACTGGCTTCAGCCAGTAAGACGCAATAGTTCATCCCAAAGTCTACCCCATCCCAAAAAAACCCCCCAAAATAAAAAAACAGGTACAGCCACTTGATCTCTGTGCTACAGAAGCAACAACAAAGGGAGACCACCACTGCATTCAAGCATAGTGTTAGTGTAGAAGCTGGATGCAGGAGAAGAGATGCAGAATACAGAGAGTATAGTGAAAAGACGGGGGAGAAAGGAGACAAACAAGTCTGCAATTGTGTGTGTAATTTCTAGACTTCATCCCCTTTAAACTGGGTTTAATTACTATAGGTAGTAAAATAACCCCCTCTGGAGGTCAGAAGGAAAATTGAGACATGTTGATCATGCATAAGAAGCTTAGTGTTCATCTTGTCATAATCCTAGAGTTATGAGCCCAAATCTTATTTACAAGTTATAGAGCACGCAACACAAAAGGGCCCCGTAGGTGCTACTGCTATACAAGCAGCAGAGCATGCAGTGCGATTAATGTATAGTTAGATGGAGACCACAAATTAGAAGAATATGTCAGTGAGAGCAATGCCAGTACTAAGCTCAAGAAAAGCAAGTAGCCTGCTATCCATGGAAGATACAAGTCCTGAAATAGCCTTTATTCTGACAGTGTGACAAAAGAATGTGGCTACCACCAATTGCCTGATTCTCTATTCTCCTAGCACTAATAAGTGTTTCGGATTAGGTTTACATCTGTCCATTGTTTTCTCATTTTATTCCATTCCCAGACAGAACCGGTTGGCATCAGCAAAAGCAGTAAGAGTAACAATTCTGGGCATCTATGAGAAGGATCCTGCAATGGATCTATCTCCGGGACAGGCATAAGGATTTTGTAGAAAAAGGGGGTTTTGCGCAAAAAGGAAAGATCCACACTGCCTGTTTTTGCGCAAAAACTCCTAGCGCAAAAATGGAACGAAACAGACTATGCAAATGAAGCATGGGAAAATGCTAATCGGTGCTTCACTTGCATAAGCTCTTGCGGCAAAACTCTTAGTGTTGACACCCTAAGAAACTTACCCAAGGCTCCACAAAACAGGTGTTCCGCACAAAAAAAAATATTATAGTTCGGTGTTCCATGGTCACAAAAAGTTTAAGTTACACTGAGTTCTAGTGTTAGGGGAGACAAGGCCCTATGTAATGGACAGTATTTTAACCACCGTGGTATCTAGACAGAGCTGGACAAGGTTGCATGTATGAGATATCACAGACAAGTCAGAGTACTAAGATACCATATTGTTCATGTGTGCACTGGCCTAACTCTGCCCCCATTGAAATCACTGGTCCAACTTGTATTGACTTTAACAGGAGTAGGTTAATGATAAATGCATATGAAAATGCTACCTAAGACTAGAACTGTGGTTTCAATACAATTTATTATGCCTTTACAGTAGCCGTGTAATGACTAATTGCTCATGCCAACAGAAACGTGTATTATAAAGATACACAGTTTTAAATAGAAGCCATTCACAGTTTTTATATGCAGTCACAAAGGCTGGAAGGTTTCTATGAGAATGAAGGCCTGATTCAGAGCTTGATACCTTAACCAACACGCCTTTGTTCAAGATACAGCTGAGGTAGACAGGTAGTGGGACTTAAGTACAGGTTCAAACATTTCTTTAAAACATCTAGCCTTCAGTACACAGGGTAGCAAAGCAAAAACCCAAGCAATATGATGGAGAATTACAAACCTTAGCTGTTCACACATGAAATCAGATGTGAACAGAATAAATTTCACAGAAACAAGCTTAAGCCTTTCTGTATTTCCTGGCAGAAGGTGACTTATCTATTGTGTGACAGGACAGCTTCAGAACCTCTCAGAGGGAAGGCTTGGCCGAGCTTGAAGGGAAAAACAAAGGCAGATTTACACACTGTGGGCGGCTGATAGCATTGTGTTGGATCACTTGAGCAGGCAATAGGAAGCTCAGCGAGGTACAGCACAAGCTCAGCCTCAGAGTCAGTCAGTCACTTCCCAAGAGCTCACCACACTTGCAGTCTCCCAATGGAGTTTAGCACTGGCTGTTTTTGATCGTTTTAGCTAGTTTATGAGACCAGCTGCTCTGGCAGGGTCATGGTGAAATTCAGAGCCCAGAGGGGGAATGAATTGAGGATCCCCCAAAAATAAGGTACATTTTGCTTAGAATGTGTATCAGCAAATTGCTAAATAGAGAACATTTCCTTTCCCATGGCTCCGATGTCTTGATCAAGTACAGCTATGCTGACATGGACCATTAGACATCAGGCAGCTGACACCACAGCAGATAAACAAGTGTCTCTGGAGCTTCTTGCAAGTCACCTCTTTTAAAGGTTTGAAAGCATGAACAATAATCGTAGCTCTGGGGGTGCCACGCCCCGAAGTCCTATTGTTGGGGTGCAACCCCTCCTATAATCCAGTCTGCGGCGGCGAAGGTTCACCCCCTCGCCCCCTATGCCAGGGTCTTGGGTGGCCGATACCGCCGTTTGGGAGCGTAACGCGCTCGCTTTCGCAGCAGCCACGCTCTCGGTGCTCAGCCCTCAGCCGAGGGAGGGAGTAGGGGGACCCGGGCCCACCCTCACTCACGGGCCCCAGCCCAGGGCCCTAAGAGCAGGTCCCACCAGACCCACTCAGCCGGTGGGGGACTCTAACCCCGAAACCCTCCGGCTCGCCGTGCCCAATCCAGCCCCTGCCCTGGGCTGCTTCCTACTCCCTACCTGCCTTGCTCCTCTGCCGCCGACTCTCCACCCTGTCTCTCTCCCTCCTCCCCCCCGGGCTTTCCTCCTTCTGTTTTTAAACTCCCCGCCTCTGGCGCGCCCCTGACTTCATCTCCCCGACGTCACTACGCCGTACGCCGGGGCTGCCTCTGCGCTGGGCAGCATGCTGCCCGGCTGCAGCCGTGCAAGCCGCACAGACCGGCCGCAGCTTCCCGGCGGCGCTGAGAAGTGCAAGCACCACAGCTGGCTCAGTGCGGGGCGGGTTCGCCTCGGCTGAGCAGAGGCGTCCCGCCTCGTGTCAGTAGCTAAAACTAGACACTGATCAAACCCCATTTCTTTTTTCCTCCGGATTCTTAACAAGTGCTCTCATTATGGCAACACCCCATTAGACATGCTTCAAAGATAAGCTCACTTAATCCGGTCTAGGTTCTTACACAGCCCTAAGCACCCTGTGCAGTTTGGGAAAAACGGTGAGGCTTGCCCACTTCCTTGATCACTGGCAAACACCTCTCAGGACCAATGCTCATTTGAATAAAGTATATTAAAGCAGTTATAGCATACAAGCAAAGAACCCCAAATGTACAGTCAATGGTATGCGGTATTGCCTGGGAGTGACTGTGATTTGAGGTAATCTGCCATTTACTCAGCATATCCAGCTGCCAGCTGTAAAAAGCCTCATAATACACAAACATTTAGATGCTTTTGAAATTCAGAAAATCAAATGGGTGGTGAACCCATGGAGACTCTAGATGGTGCTATTCCAAGCTGGCTTTTGTTGTGAATGGTCGCTAGCTGGTCAAGGGTAATACCACTGGACAGTGAACATGCTCATTCAACAGGTATCACAGTATCAAACAGACATTTACAGAAAAGGGACAATGCCCAAAATATAGCTGATTGTCAGCAGCCATTTCTTTTACTGAAGTGTTGACAGCCTCAGCCTCCGCCATGCCACCTTCCACAGGCTTTTCCAGTGTTCCCTGCAGCTCTTGCTCTGCGTGTAGCTGCTTTGAAATTCCAAATAGATCTGTTAAGCCTTTCCATGGTGCATTTGTATGTTGCTGAGTGGTTGCCTTCAAGGCGGATGGCCAAATAGATTCTCTGCTCACTTTATTCAGATTAATTCAAGTTAAGTCCTTGACTACACTAATGTAATTTTGCATGCAATTATGTAGTAGTACTCAAGTGGGGACAGGCGGCAAACCTTAAATCAAATGGCCTGGTTCGAACGGACTCAGGGCACAGGTAATGCTTCAGTCGGCAGTAGAGCACAAGTTCGATTACTAAATTCATTTGTGTCATGTAGACACAGCCTTAGGTCAATAAAACTACGTGTGTGAACAAAGCAGGGAGGAATCAGTCCTGACTGATCAAAGAGGTAACAGTTCAAGATTTGTAAATGCTAAGTGGTCAGTCTGAGCCGCTAGACTCACATAATGTATAAAATCAAACCCAGTTCAGTAATTAATCACATCCATGATTATCTGTAATCCTGTATTAACCAAAGAGCAGATTTCATAGAGAAGAATGTTCTATTAAAAAAAAATGTCAGATGTCCCTGTGGCTTGGTTAGTGAGACTGCTGTACATATAAATTTGTGCTTAATTCACTGTTCATGTGTACTTCATAGTTCAAGAAAGGGCTGAGATCAAGTGTGAATTGTCGTCCAAAACTACTAAAACAAATAATCTTTAAACAGTAATTCCCCACCTACACAGTTTCCTCCTCCTTTCACGATCATCTTAAAACCTAGCATCTCCTCAGGTGAGCTTATGTCACTGCCACTAACTTCCAGTGAAGAATCTGTGTGATCTCAACTACACAAGGACATGAATGATAGCACTCAGCTGCCCTAGAATTCCATGCCAGGGATGAGTTACGTCACTGTAATGCTCCTTTGCACGAGCCCATTTTCATATTGATACTGGAGTAAAAGATAGTATCCTGATTTTAGATCACCCCATTGTGTCCATTTATTTAAGCAACACTGTTTCTCTTTTGTTAGCAAGACCACTTCCCATTTGTTAAACCACCTATTTTTTGTTTGTCCTATACATGGACATTTAGATCAGGTTTCACTCTACTGAAGACAAAGGAAGAGGCCCACACAAAGGGGATGGTTTTTTCTAGGCTTTTAGAATTAAGTGTAGTCACTTCAGAAGACTGACACCACTCTATTCCATTTCTCTTTGCTTTATTGTAATGCTCCTTTAAGAGAGGATACTGCAGTTCAAGTCCAGTACCACTCTAAAGAACAAGAAATATTTTTCACTGAAATTACCATTCCCATGAACTTCACATAACACATTAAGAAAAATTAAAGATCCAGTACCCCACTCATTTACCAAATTTCTGCTGGCCCAAAAATAGTTCTAGAGAAGGTCATTCTAGGCCATTACAATACATCACTTTAGCAATGGGCATTAGATTCCACTTATTTACTTTACTTCCACCTTATCCCTAGACTGAACAAACCCTCCTTGGGCAGGGATTTTAAAATTAAATCACTTTACCAAAACAATAGGGATATTAAAATACTTTTGATTGCTTACTTGATTGCTATTTTGACCTCAAGAAGGGACACTGCATCTTTAAATCTTGTTTCCTGGATTAGAATACAAAGGAGGTTTCACTCACATTGGTTAAATTATTGCACAGATTATTACATTGAAATACATTATCTCCCCATGGAATGTTACAATGCTTGGAGTGGGGAAAAAAGCAGCAGCATTTTCCTTCAGATCTAGAATTATGGAGCGTTGGCCAAGGATAGTTTGAAATTTAGTAAGTAGTGACAGGCTTGAAGACAAAAGGAACGTTTCAAAATCCTCAACACTAGAAACAGAAGATCCCGTTTCTGGTTTGGAAACGCTCAAGAACAAAAACGTCTTGTTCCTTTGCGAACAGCGCGGAGTTTGAAAGCCCCTGAAGTAAATCTCTGTGCAACTCTGCCACTGCTGAGATCCTTCAATTTAAATGAAAAAGAGACTGAAGCATGGAAAGGCTAACCTGGATGATGTGGTATCCTATAGAAAACTTTTCCAACCCCCATTTCCCAAGTACCCATCTCTCTTGTTTTAACCATATTTTCTCGTGCAGTGAAAGATGAACAACTGAGAATCCTGAAAACAGAAATCCTGTTTCTCCAAAACAACAGGCACAGCATACCGGGGCACTCTAGGCTTGCATACATCAAAGATGTCTCCAACTCAGTACTCGGCCACATCCATGCAGCCTAGGCTCTGCCATTCAATTACTGGTACCTCTCAAGAATATAAGAGTGCCAGCTGTGAGGGTGCTTTTTAGGATAAGTAAACACTTTAAATTAAAAACTGGTCTGTGACATTGCTCTCCCCCAACAGAACAGCTTTCAAATGGCAGAGACTTCCTATCCAAGTAGTAGCTAACACATTAAAACCTTGGAGAACAAAAATTGGACTGAAGGAAATGCCTTAGTTTCACCCTTCTCTCACCTCTACTCAATTACATGGTAGAATATTTGGATTCAGATGGGCAAAAAATTCATATTTGATTCAGCAGTCCTAAAATGAATGGGAACTGCATGCACTTAGATAGAGCAAAAGACCTAGTTTTACTGTTCCGTTTATATCTCCTACCACTATGCTACTGTTTAGCCACCCTAGAATACCTTTCTGGAAGTATAAGGTATGTTAGGACTCTCACAAAAGTGAGAAGTAGAAAGATGTTCACTTCATTTTCACCTGGACTGGAAGAACAGCACTGTCACAGAGTTCTACCCAGTTAGGGCAATGATTTTTACTATGTTCAAGCATATAGCCAAAAACTAGGTTGAGCCCAGCTTAGCTGAAGTTGTGATGTAAACAGGTCCCTATTAGGCAAATCACAAAAGTGGAGAGAATAGGGATAATGGAGTATGCACATGAAATTATTTTTAGACAGCTCATTCAACCTATTACAGTAAGCTATTTCAGGAGGCTGGTAAAAAAAAGACAGTAAGAAAATAGTACAGAGGAAGCTAAATCAGCTTAACATCACTTTAGACAAACAGCTTCAGAAGTCAGACAACCCAGCCAATCAGGTGCTTTTTGCTGTCACTATTACTGCAATACTACACAAAATTAAATTGCTAGTCAAGGACTGTGCAATACCACTTCACATATAAATTACATAGCATGACCTTCAAAGTACATGCATTACATTTTCAAACTAGGCAGCAGACACTTGAAAGGAAGAACAAGTAATAGACGGGTATGCATAAAAATACATGAACTGTAACATGTTTAACATGCAGTCAAGCCATGACAATATCTCAAACAGAAAAGCAGAAATTCCAATAAAATCACCTGTATTGATTCTGTCTGTAAACATTCTTGAAAATGGTGCCATTACCACAAGAAGCATCAGAGTCTTAGATCTTACTGTGCTGCTGTTTTCCTTAGTGTGACACACAAAGTCTTGCATTAATCTGGCACAAGCAAACTCTAGATAATCACTAGCATTGCATAAAGTTCTCAGGTTAGGTGTGGAACTCAACAGATCACTAAAAGGTTACTGAAAGGGCACTAAACCATGAGAAAACCACTGAGATAGAAGATGGGAGAGCAATACAGAAGAAGGGATAAAACAGACCAGAAAAATATTCAACTGATAATTAGAAATATAATAAACAACCCTGCAAGATCAAAAATGTCTCCACAATATTACGGCTGTTACTACTTACACGATAAACAAGAAACCATTAATACTTTTTGGGTAAATCATGATGATTTTTTCTGGCTGCTAAAGACAGCTAATTTGTGGCCGACTTCCACTGGTTAAACATGAACTTTCTCCATAGTGAGTGGCAGAAAGCAAGCAATGCTGAGACAGAAAACTTGTCAAATGATCAGCAACAAATATAATTTGGTCAATTCATCAATACAAAGATACTCTTAGAACCATTCTCCAAAGGTTCATAAATAATGACCATGGTACAGAATTCCACAGTGATACCTGAAGTATTCCAATGGCACCATGATTTGAAGTTTTCAAGTGACTTCTAACTACAATATTCAGTCATGTGGTATATTTATAACATTACACCACAATGACAATAAAAAATAGAGCTATATTCTCCCTCCCTCCCCCCGGCAGACAGATACTTAACACAGGACACCCTTGTAAAAGGAAACAGATCTGAATTCCTCTAGTCTAAGTTTTCCATATTCAAAGGTTATGGGCTTATAATCACAAAAAAGCTGCAAAAAAAATCCAAATTGAGACCTGACCAAACCTTCTTTGAAAATTTTTTAAAGGTACTAGGGAAATTGTGGAGGAAAAGGTGGTTTAAATTATTATATTAAATAATTAGAAGCAAGAGATTGATTAAACTAATCTGCTAAATTCAAGTTTCACAGTTAAATCCAAGTCCTATTCATCTCAAAAATAGCTTGCCTCTAATTTTTCCAATGTTTCACTGTGACTGTGGTCTATAAATGCTGATAAAAGCTCAAGCAGAAGAGGAGAAAGATTTCATTTTAACAAAAAGCAGGTGAAATTAGTAATCTGGAAAGAACAAAGTTAAAGAAAGGAAGACACAATATTTAAAGGGAAAAATACCACAATTATGTAGGATACTCCTGCAGAAAATCTGCACTGCATGCATACGTAAATCAAAGGGCAAAAATAAGAAATGGTGCAATTCTGAATACTCCTATATGGTCAGGCTGACAAAAATGGTAAGTTACATACTAATTATTATCTAGTTCTAGTTTTCTCTCATCTAAGAATTCTCCAAGAAAAAAAATGGTTTAAAAAAAGTTCTCAAACCTTGTGAAATTTAAAAACACAGCTTCAATAAAAAGTGTCTTCACGGCCTTTTTGAACTGCCAGATTTAACGCTGTTCCAGCAGTACAGAGAGGCATTTAAATTGGTACTGAATTAACTGCAGTTCACTCATTCAATTGCTGGCTATCTGTTGAAGATATATCCCCTCCTTTCTTTGCATCACCCCACCCTCCAATGTTTTCTAGAACTTCGTTAGAAGTTAGGAATACTGGAGGGGCAAGCCTAAGAAACTACACATGCAATATTGTGCCATGAAAACATGCTTGCACTGATTTGTTCCTCTGACCCATCATTTTAGGAAGTTAGCATAACCAGCTCCGATAGTGCAATGGTAAGGAGAATATATCTATTACTATCCTTTATGATGGTAGAGCCACATCTTCATAGGGTAATGATGAGAATCAGACACTATTTGTTTTGCTAAACTGGAACAGAAGAAGGGGAGAATGAAAGGGAAGCACAAGGTAACAGGTCAATAAGGACAACCATGTTAATCCAGTTGCTTGTGAAACTTTTTTCCGTCAGAGATCATGGACTCCTTCCTTCGCCATGCGAAGCAGGGTGACAGAGTCCTACCAGTTCTGGTTATCCCAGCCTTCATCAGCTGCCGAAGACACTTTTGTCATCTTCTTGGGAGTTTTTTTGGTCTTACTCTCCCCTCCTGCATTCTCCCAGTTGGTCTCCCAGTTTTCCCAGCTGTCGCTGTTACTGTTCTTATTGTTGGAGACTGTCCCCGAGCCCCAGACGTCCCAGCTATCAGAGCTTTTCTTCTCTGTGGAATTGTCCACATAGGTCCAACTGTCATTGCTTGGGGACTTATGAGCCTTGGGTGGGTCTGAGTTACCAAAGGTTTCCCAGAAGCTTTGATCTACAGCATTGTTCTGATAGCCCTCTCCTCCACTGTTCTGATAGCTGTCGCTCTCAGGAGGTCTTTAAAGCAAAAAGAACAGAGATGGAAAAAAATATCAGCAGCTGTATCACTCTTCTCACATTACTGAATTAACCCAGCTACTTATGCATAAACCTTCATCTCCTACTAAGCTTGTCTGTCATCACCTTATAAATGAAAAATTTCTGCAGAAAAAAATGGTGTTCCTGCATTTAATTTTACAGCAATGACATTAACCAACAAGAAGAGAGGAAATGATAGTGCCAGTATCCTTTCATCAATCACGAGCAAGGCAGAAGAACCTGAATTCATATATTTAGAACAGAGTTTGGCCTAAGTTTTAATTTTCAGATTTATCTGATTTGAGTAATCATTAGGAATGTGAAAAAGTAGGTACAGTAAAACTCCAATAATCCGGCATCCAATAGTCCAGCATTCCTGATAGTCCGGCATCAAAATGGCAAGAGCCTAGTGAGTGAGCTTCGGCAAAATATGAGTCACAAGGTAGCAGCAGCAGCTGAACTGAGCAAAAAGGGTAAAAAAGGCTTAAAAAAACTAAAACATTACTGTATACAGTATGTACAATAAAAAGGGTTAAGAACACTTTGTATATATATACTGTCTACATTATATACTGTTCACACACACACACACACACACACACACACACACACACACACACACACACACACAGAGTAAACTTCCGATAATCCGGTACCTTTAGGAACCAGGGGGTGCCGGATTATCAGATATGCCGGACTATCAGAAGGGGGGCTATGAGGGGTCTGGAGTGGGGTGGGAGAGGATGCCACCCCAGACCCCTCATAGCCCCCCCTTACGATAGTCCGGCTCTGCCCCAGGCATCCCTGATTCAGCCTCTGCTGGTCAGTTTCAGCAGCAGCTGAATCGGGGATGCCTGCAATAGAGAAGCTGGGGTGCTGCCGGGGTGGGGCCCCGCGGC